TTTTTTTTTTTTTTTTTTGGTCTTTTTGAGAAAGGTCTCACTATGCAGCTCAAGTTGGCCTTGAGCTCACTTTGTAGCACAGACTGGTCTTGAACTCACAATGATCTTCCTGCCTCAGCCTCCTGAGTGCTGGGATTACAGGAGTGCACCACCATGCACAGCAATGGAAACCTCAATTTTTTAAGTGAAAAATAGGAATAACAACCTCTGCTTCATGTAATTTTTTTTAATGGAATTAAGTGAGATGATCAATTCCTGGTACCAACTCAGGAACAGCACTCACCTTTTGATGACATAGAGCTCGGGTGCTCCCTTATTTGTGGTGGGGAGGATGTCTGACCTTTGGGTGATCTGCGCTCAGGCTCCCTGACCAGCCTCCCTGTTCTTCACAGCCTCAGGGAACCTGGCGCTGCTCCTGAGCCTCCTTTCCTTGGTGCAGCTGAGGAACAAATCAGAGCAAGAACTGGACAGCATGGCCATGAAGCTCCTTCACCAAGGTGCCTTGACTCTTTGGGGTCGTGCCTGCGGGCCCAGGGCTGCATGTACAGTGGACCTACTCAGTAGTGCTGGCATTTATTTCTTCTTCCCTTCTTTTATCCTTTTGGAAGAAGCTAGTAGATGTGACCATCCCTGAGAGCTTCTTACTGAAAAATACCTCTTAGGTTTTTCTGCTTGTTCTCAGGGAATAAGAGCTCTTTAGGAGCTCTTCTCCCCACTAAAGAAAAAATCGTTGTGTGACAGGCACAAACTCTAGGATCGTGAAGGGCTTGGGCCTCATCTTAGCCACTAGCTATGTGAGGTTGGGCAGTCATGTTGCCTGTACCAAACCTAAGCCCCTCCTACTTAAGGTAATATTACTACCCTATTGACAGGACTAAGGTAAGAATATCTGATCGGATAGGTACAGAATGCCACACGGTGCTTGGCACCCGATAGGTCTTCACTGCGTCGATTCGCGTGTCCTGGCTCAGGTCCACTCCCTGCTTCATTCCACAGCTAATGACACAGCTCACAGCTCTGATGGTCCAGCTCACAGTTGCCAAGACTTTCTTACCCACACCTTAGGCCTCAGTGGGATCTTTCACTGATCATGAATATAATCACTATTTCATATGCACCTCCCACAAGAAGAATTGTTGAGCAATGGTTAAAATAAGAAGGAAAAATGCTATTTCTTCAGTGTCTGTAGACTCAGGTCCCCTGGCCACAGGTGAGGCTGGGTGTCTACCCTGCTTAGGGCCTAGTCTTCATCGAGAGGTTGGTGTCAGGCTTACAAAGGGCCTTTGGGGGTAGCTGCAGACCCTGCCTCTGCCTGGTGCTGGTCATCACTGCCTGTCAGATCAAAGCTTACATCAGGTTGATCTATATATGGCAAAACCAGCCTTCAAAATGGCCCCTGACAAGGAATAACAGGATGAAAACTTCATGGGAAATGGACATTTCCCTCTACTCCTTCAGCACGCCTGTTTGAGACCACTGGGAGGAGATGTCTGCAGTTCTCTGGGGCTCATGTTCAGGAGTGAAGGTGCTACGGGGAGGGGACCTGCTTCTCAGGTTGATCACAGCTAGCAGGAAGCCAGAGTGTGATGTGGCTGCCGAAAGGTGAACAGAGACTTGAGTGAGATTCACAGAGAAGTGGGATTAGGGAGATAGGGAGTGGTGAGTCCCAGGAGGAAAGTGTTCTACAGATGACTACTCTCCAGTGTAGTTGTTGCTCTGTTGAGGGCTGGGAAGTGCAGACGAGGCATCTTATCTTGCCTTGAGGGGGATGAGAGGCTTCATGGGAGTGTGAACTTGGAGCTGAACCCTGACTGCTGACAAGGAGTTGGAGTTAGGCAGAGGAGGTGATGTGTGAGAGAGGATATGGCAAGTGCAGGGAGCCGCACATGATTATCACACAGCTCTCTTAGGAAGGCAGTGACTGCTGCATTGCAGAGAACTGGGAGGCGAGGCTAGGAGTCTTAGGGAGCAAGGACTCCTGCTGAGGTGACAGGCTGGCTCTGATAATCTCTGTAGACCGTTGTATCCTAGAGTCTGATGGCATGTACATATGCAGAGGATGCCCCCGTCCGCTCAGCCCAACAGCGTGTGCTGGCTCTTTGTATTTGTATTTCTATTTGTCCAGATAGAGGATATTATGGCTTGTGTGTAGATATCCACCCAACGCCTCTTGCAGTCATAAGTGGGGCTTCTTCAGAGGTGGCTGGATGTTGAGTATGTCATTGATTCATGCTGAAATGTAGAATGAAGGGTGCTAGTACCATCTGTCCTAAGGGTGGATGTCATGCTTTGTGTCGAGTTGTCCCTCCGAAGCCTCATACAGTCATGGCCGGCTTCTAGAGTTTGTGATTAATTCTTGGTCCAATGCTGGGATTATAGGTGTGAGTGCTGCACTCACCCTGGGGTGGGTATTCTGTATTACAATGTAAGGAGAGGAAAGAGGCAGCTGCTGCCCCACCCTTTGCTCTCTGCTGTTTGCCTCCACCATGAATGGCTACCCTCTGCCGTGTACCACTCTGTGTTGGAGCCAGCTGAGTATGGACTGAAACCTCCACTAATTGTGAGCTAAATAAACCTTTCCTTCCTTCATTTTGGATATTGGATATTTTGTCCCAGCAACAAGAAAAAAGTAACTAAGACAGTGGGTATCCTGAATACAGTTTAAAGGATAGAATAAGGCTTGCTGCTAGATAATTGCAGTTTGTGCTTGTTTTGCAACCTTCTGCCTACTATGAACCACTTTTCCTCTGTGATGTCTGTCTGTCGTGCCTCCCTGCCTTGGAATCAGCTATTTATGAAACCTCTACCATCTATGAGCTAAATAAAAATCTTTCTCCTTTAACTTTGGGTGTCAGATATTTTGTCTCAGCAATGAGAGAAAAGTAACTAAGAGAGAATGTGTGAACATGCCTTCATGTTTCACTGTGATTTTTTCCCCCATGGGTTGCAAAGTCAGGGATGCCCAGTGTGTGCCTTCTCCCCAAGACAGAGCTCTGAAAGTCGCTAGTTGTGAGCCATCATCTGTAAGAAGTGTGACTGCATGAAGACCGTGGGGTGCTGTGCAGTGTGCCACCTAGGGACTCTCGTCTCTTGCAGTAAGCAAGCTGTGTGGGCAGTGCAGCCCTGTGGATGTGGACATCCTGCAGCCCTCCTTCAACTTCCTGTACTGGAGCCTTCATCAAACTACACCCAACAGTCAGAAAAGAGGTGTGTGGCTGAGGCCAGGACAATGAGGAAGAAGAATCCTGGGCAGCCTCCGTGGGCCTTGCTGCCCTCAGTATTTTTTCTCTTAACAAATAATGTGGGGAGTGTGTGTGGCTGGTGGTCGTGGATCCTCTCTTCTGCAATGATTCTGAGAGTCTTCAGTCACAGGCTGATCCTTTTGTTTGCTTTTACATATGTGGGTGCTGAGCACCATGGAGGTGCTGCACCTGTGTAATTAGGTGGCTTCTGCCCTGGCCCTTTCCGGCAGCGGCTGCAGTGCTCCTGAGCAGCACAACCCTGATAGAGCTTCTAGAGAAGACGCTGGTGCTCACCTGGGCAGATGCAGCCTCTCCTGCCTGGACAGAGGGAGGCTCTCCCAAGAGCGCCCTGCTCTGCTCTGCCTGGCTGCTCACTGCCTCCCTGTCTGCGCAGCAGCACGAAGGTGGCCTGCAGGTTAGTCTCTAGCTCTGTGACTTCGAAGCCTGGGATGAAACTCAAAGAAGTAATGAAAATCCTGATTTCTGGCCTCAGCTCTGTAGCTTACTAGCTGTATGGCCTCAGCAAGGTACTTGACTGTCTCAAAATTTCAGTCTCTTTACTTACAAGATAGGAAAAACACCCTAGGATATTGTTAGGATGGTTTAAGTTAATCTGTTTAACACATGTGGATTATCTATGTGCCAGGTTATTTTTATCGCAACGGAATGAAAAATGAATACAGCATCTGTTTTACTCTTTAGGAAACTTTAAGCAAAGCCTTAAAGTAACTAGGTTTGTACTTAGCAAAGTTAGTTGGTGCACTAAGATTCTAAGTAGCAAGTATAGTATGAGCAAAGGCATGAAGCTGCTCAAATTGAGGACATGAGCCAGACATGGTGGCACACGCCTGTAATCCCAGCACTTGGGGTCAGAGGCAGGAGGATCTCAGCAAGTTCAAGGCTAGCCTGGGTATGCAGTGAGTTCAAGGCCAGCCTGAACTACATAGTAAGACCTTGTCTCAAAAGAAAAAAAAAATCAGGACACGGGCAACATACTATTCGGAGAGTGGTGAGGTGATCTGCGTGCTTAGGGTGTGAGTAAAGGAATAGATCAGATTGGACAGGGAGGCAGGCACAGCCCATGATCCTGAAGTGCTGGGTGGCAAGTTGTGACGAGCTGCACGTTGTTAGCCGTCACTGTGACTGTTTGAGAGGTTGACTCAAGAAACAGAAGAGCAGTGCGCTGTCTGTAGAGTACCTCCTTGCCTCCCTGCTCCCCCACAGGACCTGGGTCACAGTGTGCTGCACGAGCTCCCCTGTGGGCTGTTCCCAGTCAGCTGCTCCTCAGGGTCCAGGGCTCCTCACAGACAGAGACATCCCCTAGCCTTCATGGTGTTTGCAGGCTGTGCTTAGAAGGCTGCCAAAGGAGTGTGGAGACAGTGAAGGCCCTGGGTCAGGAAGATGGAAAAATGACACTTCCTCCAAACTCCTGGGTAGCCTTTTTGTTCTCTGCATTTGGCCCTCTGTGTCCTACCTCCTGCTGTCTCCTCTCCACTGTCATTCTCTGCCCTCTGGTCAATTATTTACTCTTTTTCCGGTTGGTTGTGCTATTTCACATCTTCATACTTTTTAAATTTTGTTTTCTTTATTTTTTCTTTTCTTTTTTTTTTTTTTTTTTTTTTGGCAGAACTGGGGATTGAACCCAGGTCCTTGCACTTGCCAGGCAGGTTCTTAGATAGCCGAGCCATCTCCCCGGGCCTTTTTCCTCTATTATTAACGTTTTACATTAGCGTGATATTGTTATTCCTTTTTATAAATTGGTTCTTCTGCTTAGAACTTGCAGCCAGTGGGGGTTTTTAAGGAACTTTTTTGTGCCAGACTGTGACACAGATTAGAGTCTACAGAGTTAGAGATTAGAGTTTTGTCCCTCTTACCCCTACTGTAGCTGCTTAGCTTTGAGATTGCTTGACATTAGTTGCATGATCCTTGACACTGTTCCTCAGCTGTCCCTCACAGTAGCTGTGGCAGGTGTGGAAGCAGGTGGTGTTGCCTTCATTTGACAGAGAAGAAAGTGAGGCAGGCTAAAAGACGTGCAATGACATATCCATGGGCACACAGCTGACAAGCAGCAGAGCCAGGATTTTGATTTGGCCTCCCTGACTCCAGGTCTTCTGAGTTAGGTAGATGGTGGGTAGAGCTAGAGACTGAACCATAGATGAGGCTGGGGGAAGCATCCTAGTGGAAGAGGCAGTTGGTGGAGAAGTGTTGCCAGAAGAGTGAGTTCTTTGGGTGCACTTCTGAAGCCTGAACTGGTGAAGCTCCAAGGACCCTGTGGCCTACTCTGTCCCCTCTTGGTGCAGTGTGTGAGTTTGGGGCAGTGGGTAGAAGAGGTACAGGGGCAGGCTGTTTCCTGCTCCAGGTTCCAGAATGTGGAGCTTAGCCCCATACCCCTGCCATGCAGGTTCACCAGACTCTGTCCATGGAACTGGATCAAGTGGTGAAGACCCTTAGCTTTCCAAGGAAAAGAGCTGCACTACTATCAGGTATGGGGCCCTGGAGTTTGCAGCAAGTGAAAATGTTTTTCTCCTAAATTCTGAGATAGAACCACTCATTTTAGCCTACGGCTACCCTGTAATTATCTCATCAGCGTGAGTCTCCTCTCCTACGGCACATGGGTGGGAGGTGGGGGAAGGAGGTAGGAACTGAGTGTAAGGAGTGTTCTGCTTTCAGCTTCCATTTTATGCTTCCTGCGGACAGCCCTGCGACAATGCTTCTCCTCTGCCCTAGTGGCTCTGGTGCCCTCAGGATCTAGCTCCACTATCCTAGCTCCACTGGGAATGTCACAAGTGCTGCACCTGGTCGTCGGGCTGCAGAACCTCTGGGTGCAGGTAAGATCTTTGCTGAGTAGGCTGGATGGCTGTCTGTCAAGAGCCTGTTATTTCCATCAGGCCCAGGGGGTGATTGGTGGACTTTTAATGACACATTGAGAGTAGGACATGGTGCATTCCTGTAAGGATCACTGTGAGTTTGAGGCCAATGTGGGCTACAAAGTGAGTTCAAGCCAGCCTGAACTG